GAAAGAGCGGGATCTTCTCAGGGAGCCTCCAAAGGCATTTGAAGTATGAGCTGTCAACTCTTGAACTTTCAGAGATGTGAGCAAAGTTGCTCCCAGAACATGTGTCTGCTGTGCTAACTGTGGACAGGTGGTACTAGCTGTCATTTGCTCAGTGCCATCCTGAACTTTGAGACACTTGGGCTTACAAATATATGCATTTTGGAACCTAACCTGTTTTTTTTTTTGTCTTTTTTTTTTTTTTCGTGACTGGTAAGGGGATCGTAACCCTTGGTGCGGTGTCGCCCACATCGCACTCAGCCAGTGAGCGCACCAGCCATTCCTATATAGGATCTGAACCCGCGGTGGGAGCGTCGCTGCGCTCCCAGCACCGCACTCTCCCGAGTGCGCCACGGGGCCGGCCCCTAACCTGTTTTTAAGGAGAGGGCTCCTGGCTAGGTAGTTCATTGAGGCTGAAGGCTACTTGTGCTGGAATTTGGGCAGTGAGGGCCAGCTGGGAGGGCAGAATCAGACGGGACGGGCTTCTGTGCTATACCAGGGAGGGTAAATTTGACTGGAGGGTGGATGTTCTCACAATGGCATTTTAAGAAATAGTGATAGCTTATTTTGTGACAGGTCCCCTTCTAATGACTTTACAAGGGTGCTGCAAAAAGTTCATGGAAAGGGCCGGCCAGTGGCGCACTGCTACAGTGCGCCGCTTGGGAGCGTGGCGGCACTCCCGCTGAGGGTTCGGATCCCACATACAGACTGGTTCCCGCTCACTGGCTGAGTGAGGTGCGGGCGCGACACCGAGGGTTGCGATCCGTTGCCGGACACGAAAAAAGACAAAAAGGAAAAAAAAAAAAGTTCATGGAAAGATTCACATTAACTTTTAATTCTATTTTTTTCACGAACCTTTTGAAGTACCCTTGTCTGCTCAAGAAATTTATCCGGCAGGCACTGTTACTCTCCCTCTTTTACTGATGGACTAACTGAGGCACAGAAGGTTGAGTAGCAGCTGGATTCAAACACACACATCCTGATTCTGGAGTCCTGCCCTTGACCAGTATGCCGATGATGAACTTGGTAGTAGTGTTGGGTGCACATTTAAGGGACCCTAGTGGAGGTGGGAGGGCTGGGAGGAAGATTTTACAGAGCCAGGAAAAACAGTGAGGAGAACTCGTCTTAGATAAGGGCAGTGGGAGTGATGTGGAGGGGAGGGGGTGAAGCGCTATCATGGAAACATTGACGCTGTTTGTAGCCCAGGAAAGACAGAGGAGTCAAGGACACTCTCTCAGCTTTCAGTGAAGAAGATCGTGGTTTGCTATTTGGATTGTATAGTGGATTGAATTATGTCTCCCCAAACTCACTGGAACTTGAATTGTGATCCCCAAGTTTTATGTATTAGAAAGTTGGTCTCCACTGTGACTGTGAAGAGGGTGGGAAATCCTATTCTGGTCATTGAAAGGTGGAGCTTGAAGAAGTGATTGGATTGTAGGACCGTGCCATAGTGAATGGATTACAAATGGTGGTCAGGGGTGTGGTTCTGAAGGCTTTAAAAGAAGAGAAGAGTCTGTCTCTCTCTCTCTGCTCCCTCTGCTTCCACCGTCATGAGACCCCTGGGTCACTGTCACCACCATCAGATGGACTTTGGACTTCCCAGCCTCAGAAACTGTAAGCAATAATGTCATTTTTCTTTATAAATCACCCAGTTCCAAGTACTTTTTTATAAGCAACAGGAATGGACTAATACAGATTGCATCTTACTTAGAACCTAGAAGTTTTAAACATATATCTAAAAGCCAGCTTAAAAATTCTTCAACCCTTTAATGGCAAAGGATGGAAAAAAAATTCCCAAGGGAAACCAGGTGATAGTGATTAAGGCCATCCCTCTTTTGGCCTCTGTGCTGTGCGAGGGCAACCTTGTGGGTTCAGTATGGAGGCTCGTGATGTGAACTCTAGGAAGGCCAGGGAGAATGGACTGAAGACCAGGTGCTCGATTTATGCCCCCACCTGGGCAAGATCACCCATAGTAAAGGTCTTTTAAATGTAGAGCACAGATATATATTAACCCTTGGTTGTTACTTTCTAAAAATCATATTATTGTTTATGCAGGAATTGTGTCATGAAGTTTTGACATGCAGGTTTTATATTGTGGTGTCAACTCTACTATTCAAAGTTTTTCAATTGCTTTTACATTGATAAGAAAGCCATTCTTCAAACACAGATTAATTTTTCTCATATATTTTCTTTAGTCTCTTCATGTACTTTTCTATACTTAATTCTTCGAAACATCAGAAATATATTTTGAGGTATTGTATAATTGTTTCTGTACCTTGAATTTTTTTCATTCCATTTATTCAATAACAAATAGCTTTTTATATATGAAGGTACTTCAAAAAAGTTTGTGGAAAAATAAGAATTAAAAGATAATACCAATCTTTTCATAAACTTTTTGAAGATCCCTTGTATTTCAGGATCTTCTTCAGGTCCACCTCTACATTTTTTATTAATCTAATTCAATCTATTTAATTCTTGCACTAATACCATGCTTTTTAATTATCATAGCTTTAAAATATGTTTTAATATTATTGATGAAAATCCTCTTCCCTTCTTTTATTTTTAACAACTTAATTAATCATTCTCATTCTGTTGGATATCTGCATTTTTACTTTTATTATTTATTATTTGTGGGCATATGAGAGCTATAACTAGGTAGATACTTAGAGATCTTAGCCAAGCCACACTGAGATGCTTGACCCACAGACTTTGAGATGATACATTTTTTTATTGAAACATAATTGATTGTATATATCTATGGGGTACAGTGTTGAATATCAATACCTGTGTGCAATGTGTGATGCTCAAATGAGGATAATTACTGTATTTATCATTACACAAGGTATTCATTTTTTGTGGCCCTTTACCAATTTCTCGCTAACCTCCCTCCCACTCCCCCTTTCTCTCCTCTGGTGGCCTCAGTTCTGTCTCTTCTTTTGAAAGTTCGATGAATTATTGTTATTCTTCTTTCTTTTCTTTTCTTTTCTTTTCTTTTCTTTTCTTTCTTTCTTTCTTTCTTTCTTTCNAAAACAACTAGCTAATCATTTCATTAGTAGCTTCTTAAATGTAAAGGTGGTTTCCAAATGACATATGCAGGAATTCTATCTATATGGCTTACTATGAGAAAATAAAACTACATATGCTGCGTGTGTATACAAGTACATACTCACATGTCTGTTGTATGCTCAGTTTGTAAGCAGGTGTTTTTAAGCTTATAAGCGTCTACTAAAATCTTTACTACAGTCCTGGAATAGATTGCACGTCACAGAATTACAGAAAAATGAAGGATCCCCCATAGCACACACACACTGACCACATGTAGGAATTGGTCAGTGCTTGGGGTTTCTTTCCCTGCAGGTGGAGGGGAGTGAACACCTGCTGGTACTTACAGTCTCGGCATCGCCGTAGAAGGCAGCCAGGTCCAAGGGAGTGCGGCCGTTCTTGTCTGTCTGGTCTATCTCGGCTCCTTCTTCAATCAGATACTGGACCACTGCCCTGTGACCTTTCAGACAAGCCCAGCTTAACGCTGACAGACCCTCTTTGTCCAGAGAAGAAAGGGTGGCACCTGAAAGAAAGGCCCATTCACAGAATATGAACCTTATAAGACAAAGTCCAGAATGAACCGTTTCAGTACTGCAGGATACCTGGCCTGAGCACGTCAGTCAGGCACCGTGAGATTGAAGCAATCCCCGATCCCCATGCCGAGCTGACTAGTGAGCACGTGGGCACTACCTATTGTCTCTACTTGTGTCTATGTTTGAAAATTTCCATAACAAAAAGACTTAAAATTTGAGCCAAAAAGTAATGAATGGGTCTGCCAAAGCTCTTTCTTTGTCCATCTAAAAGAAACCTATGTGGGGCGGGGGCACGCTGCTACCTTTTGAAAGAAGAAATTCCACGGTGCTCAAGTGCCCTTCACAAGCAGCCACCATGAGGGGCGTCCGGCCCTGCTTGTCACTTAGGTTCACATCACAGCCGCGTTCCAGCAGCAGTCTAACAATCTGAAAGAAACACTTGGAATTACAATCTTCCTGCTACATTTTAAGCCACATACTCTATACCCAGACAGGTTTCTCAGCCTTCAAAAGTACTCAGAAATGACTCTCTGCTTTCAAAAATCCCTCTACATTGTGTGATCTAAGGGGCTTAAAATCTTCCTACTGTATTCCTTGAACAAAATCTTTTTCCAAATATAGACTCTTTTTAACGTGCCCAATTCACTACTATATCTATCTACAAAACATCCACACACCAGGCAGAAATAGTAATTTGGCAGAAGGGGGATGCCAATCACAAACAAGTAATGACAAGACACTACAATGGGGGATGAGGGGTAGCTAAGCATAACCAGGGGGTGGGGGCATGAGCATGGTCACATGGGTCCCAGGCTGGCACTGAAGCTAAGTACCCGCAGTAGAAGGGCGTGGGGCAGGGGAGGGGGACGTGGGAAAAGCTCACCTGACACACCCCCAAGCAATGGGTTAGTGAATGGCTTGCCCTTCATGGAGGTCAACTTTTAGCAAAGCTTTCTGAAGGAGATTCTCAGCCTCAGCAATAGGCCCTTAAACCGTGCACAGTGGTAAGGTTGGAAGAACAAGCAAAAAACCAGACAAATGACTCTTCACCACTGTTTCCAGCAGGAACCACTTTATCCACAGGGTAAGCCTAGAGCTGCTCCTCGGCACGCTCCGTGACATTGCCGCCACCACAGAACATGGCACATTCCCACTGCTTTCCTGCTCTTTATGCACTAACCAATGCTTCCTAAACTTTCCTGTGACTTAAAGAACACTGAGACTAGGAGAGAGGATCAGCCAGAGCATAGGGTCTAAGCTGAGAGGGCGACAGGGAATGGATGGTACAAACCAAGCTCTTGGGAATGCAAAGGAGAAAAGCCGAAATCCTGGGGGGAGCACTCACGGCTCCTACCAATGCAGTTAGTGGGGCTCAGCAGAAACATGATTCTGTGATGTCAACTTGGGTCTAGAAAATTCTTTTTATACTGGGCATGATAAGATCCTTTGTATTTGTAACTTTGGTGTGACCTGACACTAGGTGTGGGGTAGGTATGTGGTCACTGCTCCAGGGGGTCCCCACTCTCTTGCATCTGGTAAAGGCGACAATGCATCACTCATAGTTTAAAATAAGCAAACAAAAACAAACAAAAACCAGCCTGAGTCACAGTGCTGGATGGAGGGAACATGTTTCCTTTTCCAAAGAGCAGGACAAATCAGCTCTTCTTCCAGGTGTGCTGGATGATGGGTTACAAAATAACTAACACAGATAAATTAGAGCAAATCTTCTATTAACAGATGGGTCCACCTACTCCATCCCCTTCACAGTTAAGGGCAGTGCTGTGCGTCTGACTGGACACAGTCCTGCCCCAGCCCACATGGCTGCCTGCACCGCGCTGTCAGGTGGCTGCCTCACCAAGCCCCCCACGGCACAAGCAGAGGCCAGGAAAGGTAGTAAGACAGGGCGTGGGGGACGCGGGTGCTCACTGCTTCGGCAGCATTCAGGGGCCCCCTGGGTACCTGCCAATGCCCTTGGCGTGCTGCACAAAACAAAGGTGGGACCCCTCTCCTGTTCGTCCGAGACACCACAGCTCCACACTCCAGCAGCAGCTCGCAGACCTCCAGCTTCCCTCTTCCTGCGGCAGCAGTCAGGGCTAAGGCAGAGTCACCGGGCGGAGGAGACTGTTAGTAACTGGTGGATTAAAGATGGCCACAGAGCCTCTGACACTCTTCCCTCCTGTTGAGAGGCAGGGTCTGTGTATCCTCTCCCTTTGCATCTGGGTGGGCTCTGTGACAGCTCTGACCAATGGAACACAGCAGAAACGATGCTGTGCCAGTGTCTGGGCTCAGGTCCTAGGAGATGAGCAACTGGCACTTCCTCAGAGAACTCATTCTTGGAACTCAGATGCTATGCTAGAAGGAAGTCCGAGAGAACCGAGGCCTGTGTATGGGTGACAGTCCCAGATGAGCCGCCAGCACAGCCAGCACCAACTTGCCAGCCATGTGCAGGAGCCATCCTGGAAATGGAACCCCTGCTAATGCATGTGAGCAGAGGTAAGCCACCCCCACCATGCCCTGCCTAAATGGTAGATTCAGGAGCACTAAGTTTTGTTTTTCATAGCAAAAGATAGAGAATATAGAGCCACACAAACACAGATTTATACTGTCCAGTCTGGCCTCTTACCCTAAAGCCACAAACCTCATTCAAACAAGAATAGTCACTGAGGCAGCAAGAGTGTATCGCACGTTCCTGCCTTTATGGAGCTCAGGTTCTTTTTAACAAGTCAAGATTTGGGGTTAAGGAAGGTGAGAACGAGCTGCTGTGAGCCCCGGGCAGCAGGTGGCGAGCTGCTGGTCGAGCTGCTGGTCGTGGTGGTGCTGCAGGGGGTCAGCTGAGGACAAAAGGAGGACGACAGCAAGGGAAAGAGAACAGGAGACAGCGTTGCCATGACACCCTCACATCAGTGACTGGGCTCCTGCTCCCCGATCTTAACTGGAGGACAGGTGGGAAGGGGTGCTTCTGCTATGTCACGTGACTCACACTGTCTGGAGGAAAGGGCACGAGGAGGTGGCAGCAACAATCCCAGGCCAGGACAACGAGCTCTTCGGTGGGACAGGAAAGGGCTGAGTGGCGTGGGACGGACACCCCTCAGGAAGGTGCATGCAGGCCGTGGGAGGAGGGAGAAGGCCGGGCGTGAGCTGCAGCCTGTTCCTGGCGTCTGCCGGGGCAACTCTGCCTTTAAATACAGCCTCGACGCTACACCTTTCCAGCTTCCAGAACAGAAAAGTGTCCCTACGAGTGAGTAAGACAGCCCTCTCAGGCGGAAAAAGGGGAAACACAGAAACAGCCCCTTCACAAAGGGTGAGGTCCAGATGCCAGCGAACTTACGAAAAGTGCCCAACCTTGTTAGTAATCCAGGTAACTGGGAAATGGACGTGCACAACGGGAATGCTTGCTCACACGCTGTGGTGGGAGTGAGGACAGGGTGATTGCTCTGGAAACAGGCTGACACCATATGTCAAAGACGTGTGTACCCTATGAGCCGGCAATCCCACTTGCAGACACATCCCCAGAGTCAGTTTCGGGGTGCACCTCACAGCAGCCCCAGACTGGAAGCAGCCCAGGTGGCCATCAGCAGAATGCATTGAGAAACCGTGGACCAGCCAAGCAACAGCATACTCGTACTATATGTGAGTAAAAATAACAGCTATGCAACTAAATGCAACAGAATGGGTCACTCTCACAAACGTCACCCTGATTCAAAGAAACAAAGCACAAACGAATATGCAGAGGTGACTCTGCTCATACACAGTTCAGGAACAGAGCACTGCAACAGCAGTCGTGGAAGAGGAGCCTTTGTCGGCCTTCTTTTAGAAAGAGTGGGACCCGGCTCAGTCTCCCAGGCACCTCAGCACAGCCCCAGGTCCTGGCAGCTGAGACCATGGGAACCAAGTGCTCAAGAGTGCTGGTTTCCACACACATGCCTAGGTCCATCTGTCCTCCTCAGACCCCTCTTGGGACAGCCAGCAGATGCCTGCTCCCTTTAGTGCCCATGATAAGGCCTGGGGAGAAGCTCCTGATCTGTGACCTCCTCTGGTGGCACCTTCTCCAGCTTCTAATCAGCATGGCTATGGCTTAACCCCCAGGAGCCACACACACAAAGGATGCAAAC